CCAAAATGGTTGAGTGGGGGGGGGGGGCACCATGGGGGCTGGGGGGGGTCTTTGCCCCCCCCCAGTTATATAGTTAAAAAATGGCCTGAGATAGTATATTGCTATTTAATATTTAATATTTACCAACGTGGGCTAGGAGCCTGCTAGAAACCATATGGTTTTTATTTTAGGCCCCTAGGCCTAGGCTTAGATTATATGAACTAAAAATAATTAATATTAATATAATGAATCAGTTCGAATGATTTTTTTTAAGAAAATACAAAGTCAAAGGATATATTAATAATATATAAAAATAATTACGATGCATATTTACAATACAATTTTGATATTGTATATTATTATAGGAATATGAGATGTTGTATATCAATCTAGCTGTGAGTAGTTTTTGATATTTTTTTTTGAAGGAATCATATAAGACTTTGGTTTTTTATATTGTTCAGAAAGATTCAGTATTCCATACTTCTATACATTTATTAGCAAAAGTATGTTTTGCATAGTTGGTTCTACGATATACTGGACTTTTTGTGTATAGCAATGAAGAATTTCTTGTGTTGTGATTGTGAATTTCCTTATTAGCAGACCTTCCAAGTTTCCCGCAATTATCGTGAAATTCACGCATATTTGTTTCCTTTCACGCATCACGCATGAAGTGACTTTCTTCCCGCATTTTTAAACTTATACTTAACTTGTCGAGGTTTCTTCCTGTGAGGCAATTACTCTCATTTCTTTTCATTTGCACAATGTTCAATGCATTCTTTTTGCCATCGTCAGTACCCAGAAGTCTTGAGAAGTCTTGAAAATGTGTGTCTTAATCGCAAATCAAAAAGAGACAAAGAGCGAGAGCGCTATTGCTTGCCGTTTGGGAAGGAGCGACGAATAAAGTTTTATATTTTTATAGCATGAACACATAAGGTTTGTGCCTCGAAAAAGGCGGAAGAAAAACCTCGGAAAGGCAATTTTCTGGCGATCTGGGGAACTCAAATTTCAAAATTTCCCCCAGGGCTCGCCAACTATGGTGGCGCCTCGTCGACACTAACCTAAGGAAATTACCTTATAAAATAACATGTACATAACGCGTATTCTGATTGGTCGAAACCCGTGTTTGGATCAGGCCATCCAAACACGGAAGACTATCGTGTTGTTGTTATTTTATAAAACAATTACTTTATGGTTTCCGTGTTTGGATGGAATGATCCAAACACTTGGGAATGTTGCTCGAGTT